TGCATTCTTGCTCTTTCCATTGTAAATAGCAAAGTGTTGGAGTATTCCTTCAAGCTCACATCTAGGAATGATAATTACATTTTACATGATTGAAAAATAATAAAAAGAAGATAATTATTTTGTGACATGGAAATTCTATGAAATTCAGTGTCCATATGTTTTATTGAAATACAACTATGCTCATTTGTATACATGTTTTCTATGGCTACTTTCATGCTATAAAAGCAGAGTTGAATAGTTATGACATAGCTCGTACCATCCACAGATCCCTAAAATATTTATTATTTGGCCCACTATAGAAAGTTTGTGTACTTTTGGCCTTAGAGAACTGACTCAAGAATGAAGGGTAGTTTTTGACTTGTCTAACCCAGTCATAGTGGTCCATATCCTCTGCCAGTGATTGATTCAGCATAGGAAGAGCTGTCAGTTGGATTTTGAGACTTTTTCTGGTCAGGGTAGAAAAACCTTTCTATTAAAAGAAATTCACAAGAAAGCAAAATAATCTATGAGTACAAACAAACTTAGTTATTTCCTTGTTGCTGCTGGAACCACCTTGTGAACCTAAATCTGCTGGAGGTTAAAGCTCTCATCTAGAGGAGTAGGATGCTGCCAGAATCTCAGAGAAATAGAATTAGAGATAATTTTCATCTGTTTGTTAGGTGATTTGGAATTTATGAATTCATCCAATGGAATTCATGATTTTAGATAGTTTGTTTTGGGTTTTCTGTTATTAATAAACCCAAGTTTACTTCAATTTAATGTATTATTATAAAATATAGATGAACATATTGAAATAATCACAAAATTCATGGCCAGGATGGAATTCAAATGGAAATTATAAGAACAATCATGTACTGAAAAATATTTACTGAGGATCTCAATATTCCAAATATTGCACTAGGTACCTTATGTCCTTAGTCCTGGTAACAACGTCTGAGACAGATATTTTCTCCATCTTATAAATAAGCATACTGAGGTATTTACATTTACAAAGCCATGGCTAGAATGTGATAGAAAACCCAGGTCTGTTTGCCTAATCCATGATATTTTCATATTGAAGGAAAACACTAAGGGAGAATTCTGCTAATTTTCAATCTTTAGATACTCAGTAAGACCATGGATGGCAATTCATTGTGATCTACTTTACAGAGGAATTAATGCCTCAGAAAATCAGAGTTCATATTTTATAATCTGAAAGCAGGCTAATAATACTGAGGTTTATTAAGGTAGTCTTTGTATTATCAATAAGATTAAAATTCCTTTACTCATCCACCTCTTTTATTGATATTTCTAACATCTCTGGTAAAAAACAACCTGCTTATTATAGCCTTCTGAAATATCTTTTATTCCTTGTTTTGTGATTATGATATTAACATGTTTCAGGAAAGTTTGAATGGACTGTCTTTATCTCAGTGTGAAAGAGTTGTTTACTCTCCAAATACAAACTAGAGAGCTACCTATAGGACTCCTTGCATCAGATATTCACAGATAGACTTTTGCCCACTTTAAGAGGAAATATGGAAATTATTCTCCCCTAGCAAAATGGAGAAAAATCATATTAAATTACCACTGTAAAACCACTCTCCAATTTTTAACATGATAATTGTATTGATATTGCCTATACTACTATTTACTTCTATCCATGTGAATAACATAGACCATAAAGCACTGTTTCAATACAACTATGTCTGTTTGAAAAAAATGATACTCCCCAAGACTATATATTTAACATAGAATGGTTTGCAATAAAAAATTCCCAAGTTTTTTATTTTTTTTTATTTATTTATTTTTTTTATTTTTTTTTTTAAATATTAAATTTTATTTTTATATTCCCCCATACAATTGCAAACGCCCCATTCTGACCCCAATCCTTCCCCTCCCGCCCCCCACCCCCAAAAAGTGTCTCTGGTTCATAGTTTTTGTTGATTTTGATTTTCACTTTCTTATATTCATTTTCCTGGTCCCTTATTTAAGTTTTCTAGATTCCTGCTATGAGTGAGACCATCCGGTATTTTTCTTTTTCTTTTTGGCTTATTTCGCTGAGCATGATCCCTTCCAGCACCATCCATGTTGCTGCAAATTGCATGTGTTTATCTTTTTTGAATGCTGAGTAATATTCCATGGTATATATGTACCATATCTTCTTGATCCAGTCATCTATTTTTGGGCATTTGGGTTGTTTCCAAAGCTTAGCTATTGTAAACAGTGCTGCTATAAACATAGGAGTGCAGGTGCTCTTTGGAATTGATGTTTCTGTGTCCTTTGGGTAAATACCTAGGAGTGGAATTGCTGGATCATATGGAAGCTCTATGTTTAGTAGGTCCAGAAATCTCCACACAGCTCTCCATAGTGGTTGGACCAGTTTGCACTCCCACCAACAGTGCAGAAGAGTTCCTTTTTCTCCACATCCTCGCCAACATTTGTTGTTGCTAGTTTTTTTAATATGTGCCATTCTCACTGGTGTGAGATGGTATCTCATGGTAGTTTTGATTTGCATTTCCCTGATGACAAGTGATGTTGAACATTTTTTCATATGTCTGTTGGCCATTTGCATTTCCTCTTCAGAGAAGTTTCTTTTTAGCTCTTCTGCCCATTTTTTGACTGGATTATATTCTTGGTTGTTGCTGAGTCTCATCAGCTCTTTGCAGATTTTTGTGATCAGTCCTTTATCATTAGTGTTGGGTGCAAAATGTTCTCCCAGTTGGTGGGGTTTCTCTTTGTTTTTGTTATTGTCTCTTTTGCTGTGCAGAAGCTCTTTAATTTGATGTAGTCCCAGCTGTTTATCTTTCTCTTCACTATCACTGCTTTGGGTGATGTGTCTGTAAAGATGTCTTGATGTGCAAATCACGTAGTGTTTCGCCTATATTTCCTTCTGTGTATTTTATGGTTTCAGGTCTTATGTCTAGTTCTTTAATCCATTTTGAGTTGATTTTTGTGTATGGTGTGAGGTAGTGGTCAAGCTTCATTCTTTTGCATGTAGCGACCCAGTTTTCCCAGCACCATTTATTGAACAAACTTTCTTTGCTCCAATGCATAGTCTTTGCTCCTTTGTCAAAGATTAGTTGACCATAAATCTGTGGGTTTATTTCTGGATTTTCTATTCGATTCCATTGGTCTGTATGTCTGTTCTTGTTCCAATACCATGCAGTTTTGATGATTATGGCTTTGTAGTAGAGTTTGAAGTCTGGGAGTGTGATGCCTCCATTTCCTTCTTTTTTTTTTCAGTAGAGCTTTGGCTATTCGGTGTTTTTGGTGATTCCATATGAATTTCATCAATAATTGTTCTATTTCTTTGAAGAATGCCATTGAGATTTTGATTGGAATAGCATTGAATCTGTATATTGCTTTTGGTCGGATGGCCATTTTAATAATGTTTATTCTTCCAATCCATGAGCAGGGATGTCTTTCCATTTCTTTGTGTCTTCTTCTATTTCTTTTAACAGTGTTTTATAGTTTTCTTTGTATAGGTCCTTTACCTCTTTTGTTAGATTTATTCCCAAATATTTGATTTTTTTTATTTCGATAATAAAAGGGGTGGTTTTTTTGATTTCTTCTTCTTCAGATTTATTGTTTGTGTATAGGAAGGCTACTGACTTTTGCATGTTGATTTTGTATCCTGCCACTTTACTGAATTGATTGATGAGTTGAATTAGTTTTTCTGTGGAGATTTTGGGGTTCTCTATGTATATTATCATATCATCTGCAAATAGTGATAGTTTGACTTCTTCTTTTCCTATTTGGATTCCTTGGATGTCTTTCTCTTGTCTTATTGCTCTGGCTAGGACTTCCAGTATTATATTGAAAAGCAGTGGTGAGAGTAGACATCCTTGTCTTGTTCCAGATCTTAATGGAATTGCTTTCAGCTTTTCACCATTGAGAATGATACTGGCTGTTGGCTTGTCATAGATGGCCTTTATGATGTTGAGGTATGTTCCTTGTATCCCAAGAATTTCAAGGGCTTTTATCATGAATGGGTGTTGCACTTTGTCGAAAGCTTTCTCAGCATCTATTGATATTATCATATGGTTTTTATATTTCTTTTTGTTGATGTGTTGGATAACGTTGATTGATTTTCGGATGTTAAACCATCCTTGTGCCCCTGGAATGAATCCAACTTGGTCGTGGTGAATTATCTTATGGATACATTGTTGGATTCTGATAGCTAAAATTTTATTGAGGATTTTTGCATCAGTGTTCATTAGGGAGATTGGCCTATAGTTTTCCTTTTTTGTGTTGTCCTTATTCGGTTTTGGTATTAGTGTAATATTGGCTTCATAGAACGTGTTTGGTATTGTCCCTTCCTTCTCAATTTTTGGAAGAGTTTGTGAAGGATAGGCACTAATTCGTCTCTGAATGTTTGGTAGAATTCATTTGTAAATCCATCAGGTCCTGGGCTTTTGTTTTTGGGGAGGTTTTTAATTACCATTTCAATTTCGCTGCTTGTAATTGGTCTGTTTAGGTGTTCTATTTCTTCTTTATCTAGCTTTGGGTGATTGTAGAGTTGTAGGAATTTGTCCATCTCCTCTAGATTGTTGAACTTGTTTCCATATAACTGTTCATAGTAGTTACTGATTATTCTTTTGATTTCTGCTGTGTCCGTTGTGATTTCTCCTCTTTCATTTATGATTCTGTGTATTTGTGCTTTCTCCCTTTTTTCCTTTGTGAGCCTGGCTAGGGGTTTGTCTATTTTATTTATTTTTTCAAAGAACCAGCTCTTGGTTTCATTGATCTTTTGGATTGTTTTTTTAGTTTCAATTTCATTTATTTCTGCTTTGGTTTTTATTATTTCTTTTCTTCTACTGGTTCTTTCCCAAGTTTTTTAAATGCAACATTTCTCCAAACTTCTGCTTGTAAGTCATTATTTAGAGATATTTTAAGGGATTCACTGCTATTTTAAGATGAATAATGTTATCTAGGGTATGTATGTCCAAACTCAGTTGTTCTCTGCTGGCTCACAACAGGATTGCTGTGTGAATCTTCTTTCTTTGTTCCCTCTTCAGATATGGTTCTTGACCAACAAGTGAGCTCAGGTCAGCTCAATGAGGATGTGCGTCACAGGGTCCATGAGGCACTCATGAAACAGCACCACCACCAGAATCAGAAAAAGCTCACCAATAGGATTCCCATTGTTCGTTCCTTTGCTGATATTGGCAAGAAACAATCAGAACCAAATTCCATGGATAAAAATGGTAAATGTTTCTTTATTGTGTTCTTTATATCTACTACAGGTTATTGAAATAACAAAGTGTTTCTAGATCCCTTACAATACATTTTAATCAAAAATGATTTATTGAAGTTGAGATTGCTGTAGAATTTTTTTCATATACATATATAGTCTTACTAGTAAGCAGTAAATTGAGACATTTTAACAAAATATTTAAGTTTCTTAAAAGGTTCATGACAGAATGCAAGGGAAACTTTTATATAATAAGAACTTGTAGACCCAACTTGAGCAGCAACTGCTAGTCTTTTTTCCACAGCTTGAGAATGTAACACAGTGATTTGAATTATTACCATAGATAGTTTGTTAAAATGAGTAATGATCACAGATTTGTATTTGGGGGGAAAAAGATTTTGGTTTCATGTTGCTCATAGTAAACAAATACCATTAGAGATTGCAATGAAAATGGTCAACTGTTGTAGATCTACATATATTAAGTCTGATTTGGAGTTCATGGGCTTATTGCTATTAGCAGTGCTGCTTCTTCACTCAAGAAGCCACCACACTTACTAGTTTTGCATACTAGCATATATGGCCTCTGCTGTTTTCTAGCAATCATGACTTAACTTTGTACAGTCTGGGCTTCAGATTATTTTATCCTTCCTGTGTTTTTTATTCTCCCCTTATATCCATTACCTTTCATCATTTATACTAAGGAATTATCTTAGGACTCTCTTATTATCTTCTATCCTTTTCATTAATCATATGAAGGAAAATGGAGTTGTAATGGTGGAGGAAATTAGTATTGTCATGAGGATGAATTTGCTAGACTTTTATCAACTATGAAAGTTCCCACTTCTAAAAGATAAAAATGAATGAAAAGTATTTTCAAATGCTTTTTTAGAAAGACTGGCTTCCCCAAGCGGACTAAAGCACATATATTGGCAAGATGGAATGAATACTTTATGTAATATCACTCCAATTTTCAAAAATTTCAGAGATACTATAAACAAATACATGAAAATTAGTTTTTCCCAGATTTCACTGATATCAGAATTTTTGCCACTTTTCATACTACTGAATTAAATATATGCAAACAAATAGTAGAAATGCTTTACTGAATTGATGAAAATAGGTAGATGTACTATTATTTAAGAACATAAAATCAGTTTTTAATGATTTTTAAAATATCTATTTGATTTATTTTTATTTATTTTTTTAAAGATTTATTCATTTATTTATACAAGCACTGGGTACAGTCAGAAGTGCGGGAGGGTGAGATAATTCACCAGAGCCAGAGCAGGGAGCAGGGAGAAGAACAGGCAGAAGGACTGAAGTACACTGCTGAGGGGAGCAGCAGGCAGCGGGAGAGGTCTGCGTGCCATGTGGGACCCTCGCCCGGTGGCTGGGGATCAAACCGGTGCTGCAGAGGCTGCGGGCAGCTTCGCAACCCAGCGCTCAACCACTGAGCCACCGGGGAGGCCCTCTATTTAATTTTTAAAAGGCCCTTCAATGACTAATGAAAGTCATTTTCATTATATAGAAGAGTCTGTAGTTGTAGGGATATTAAATTCAGTATAAGTATTATGAGCACTTTATGATATATACCAACTTGTATTTATAGATTCCACTGAACATTTTGAGAATGTATAACTTGCTTTGAATCACATCATCTATTTAAAATATATTCATTTTCTAAATCACAATTTGCTTTAAAATATGTTATACATAAAATTGGCAAAATGAAACTTTTATATTCTGAGACCTATTATAAATGTAGTGCTTTTACTATGTGACAATACTAGTATTTATTTGGTATGATGATATTAAGAAAACAGACTCAGAAAGGTATTAATTTTGACTATGGGCTTCTGTTTACACATTTGCAAAGTTCTTATTGAAATGTTTGTATGAACTAGTGCTCAGTGGGTGCAAACACATTTTATGAAAATAAGCTTCCTTCATTTTTAGTTCACTTTTACCAGAAATTAGATGATAAAATATTTGTCAATAAGAATGATAATATTTTTATTTAAAGATATAAACAGCTTGGGTCATGAACTAGATTTAATGTATAACTAAGATTTATGGAAAATAATGTTTATTATAAAATAATTTTAACATGCTTTTGGAAGGACAAGTACTGAATTTACTGGATCAACCAAATTTTTATATTAGCACCCTATTTGCTATTATGTTAAACACCTACTAAACATAAGAGATGCTAGAATTATAGCCATGAATCGCAAGTCTACATATAGATACAAGGTTTCTGAGAGTCTGGTTTTGGTCTTATTCAGGCAACTGCTTAGTTTCTAAAAACTAGAATGTGAGTAGTTCTGAAGTGATTCTGTCACCATCTGTACAATCAGCCCTTATCTGAACACATACAGATCCACTCAAAGCATACATTAGGGTAATAAAAACTTGGAAACATTTCTAATAAGATTCATATATCCAATTAAGTATTGTTTGAGAGTATGCTGTCAGAGTGGTTTTCTAAGCCTAGGCTTATAACACCTCCTTGTGACTCTGTTTTGCTTCCTCACACACTTTGCATAATTATGTGTGTTGAGAATTCTGAAAATATGTATAGTTTCACCAATTTAGAAATACATCTCCTACCCAGAAGTGGAAAAAGTGTGAAAGACCTTTATTACTAAGGTTCTCAATCTACTTATGAACTCAAAAAACTGACAAACTCTAGATAAACAAACAAATTGAAATTCATAACTGTAAATATATATTTGACATTCTGTCTCAAAATATGCAATAGAGCTTTAGTTTTTGGGCAGTAGTACAGAGAGATGCAAAAGGATTTTAAGACAGCCAAAAGAGTAAAAATAATTTTCTTCCTATTAAAATCCCTTCAATAAAGTGTTTCATGCAAAAGGTTAACTTTTTTTTTTCTTTTTTAAGATTGTAGAATGGGATTTAAATAGAGTGAGGATTTCTAGAAACTTGAAAACAAAACATTTTCCTTCCCAAGTATAAAGATGGAAATAAGCCCACTCTTGCTTAATATACTTTACTTTGGAGACAAAAATAGTTGAAATTTTCTCAGAAATGAATTGATGCTTATGTAAAGAAATCTAACGTCTATTAGAGTAAGTTTTCTGTTTCCTTAATGGATTTGTTCCTTGAGCAGGTACCCTAGGTAGTAGTCCTAAGGGGTTAAACATTCAGATACTATATTTCAAATGCAAATCTCCCTCATATTATAGATTAGATTTACTATGTATTTCCTGCTGTTTGCCCCCTAGTCCACACTATTTTGTTAGTAAATCCTTTTAGGGATTTGCGATAATTTGTCGATCTCACCTCCAAATACACTAGCTTTACTTTTTTGTATAATTTATTTTCTTGGTGTTCTGCACATTCTCTTAAGGGCTAAGATACAGGATGCTATGGATTCACCATGCATTTTTAATGCCACCATGCTGTGTTTAACTTTCACTTTTCATTAAGCATCAAAACTGTGAGAATTAAGTGTCTGATTCTGATGTTTCAATAAAAAGTGACAGTTACATTTGGCAAAACAACAGAAAAAAATAATAGGAAAATAATATCTTCTTTATCATTAGAACCCTGAAAAGAATATGGCTGGGAGTACTCTAAATATATCAAGAATGTTCAATGAATTCATTGAAAACTTGGATTTTCTAAAAGCAGTAATAAGACTTTTGGGTTAAACGATCTAGAGAGAAAAATATATCAAAGTTTGTATTTATCATTTTGGTCATGCATTCAACTGTATCTTGAGACATTTGAATTAAAATTAGTATAAAATATCATTACCCTGTTGATAAACTTCATATTTAAAAAAAATCAGAACCCTTAGGTTCCTTAAGTGTAGGATGTCTACATTCCATTGTGTCCTTTACTAATAATTCTAACTTTGTTTCTTTTTCTTTACAAATGTCATTTCTCCCTCCTAATACAAATACTTTCTAATTGTACCTTTTATTTAGGACCTCAAAAGGAGTTACAAAGCAGGAGTTCTCAGATTTACTCTTAAAGATGTGGGTTCCTGGAGAACCTTTAGATTTGTAAGGAGGGGGTGTGTATTGACTTTTTAGACTTGCGTAGACTCCAATCCTTAATGTACATGAAGTATTGTGAATGACTGTTATTTATGACTTTAGGAAGTCAGCTTTATTACTTTCTAATCACTTTTTAAATTTTTTTACAAGTGCTCTACTTTTTATTTTCAGATGCACAATGCTTTTATGTGTGTTTAGATATTTAGATGCTGTCTTATCTTTTAAATACTGTGATCTCACAAGTAAGATACCAAGAATATAAAAATTATCCCTTATAGTGTTCTACCTTTGAAGAAAATAAGGTATAATTATTCCTGGACTTACTTGAGAGAAAACATGTAATTGATAAAATTCAATGTGTACTAAAAGTATTTTCCACTGTACAAAAAAAAAAATCAAGATGACAGTGTTGGCACAACCAATGGATCTGTTTAGAGGCTTTATTTTGGAATGTCAAGACTAGATCTTAACATAAAAAATATTTATAATATGAGGGCTTAAATTTGTTATTTCTTATATTAAGTATTTTCAGGTATATTACCTTTTCTGAATTTAATTATTATCCTAGGTTCCTTAAGATTGATTACATAGTTTTCCTGTTTGAAGGATAGCTCACCTAATCAACATTTTCTGAATATTTAACCTTTCTTTCTTCATGTTTTCTATTCCCATGAATAAATGTATTGTTACACATGTATGTAACTTTGTCATTCATCTTTATATTTCTTTATTTTGCTCTGTCTTGTGTCTGTCTCTAACAGGCTCATCTCATCTCTGTACCTCCCTCATCTCCTAACCTTTGGGTACTCTAAATGCGTTGAAGGTTTCTGAGGTAGTGTAAACCAGCTTGGTCTCTAGGTGAATAGTAATGTACCTCTATGTCTTCATCCCAGTTTCCTTCTATTACACATAATTTTCAGTGGATTAAGCAGTAACAATTGTATACTTACGTGATATATTTTTACTATTGATTTGAAATTGGCCACATAAAATTAAAAAGCTGCTGTTTTACAAAATATGTGTACATCATTTGTTTAAAAAAGAATAAAACTATAGGTAAGGATTTGAATTCATTAATATCAGGTTTTTTGAGAACATATTTACAGTAGTGTTTTAATAAGATACTTTAGTGAACTGACACTGCTTAAAGTCTTGAAGTGTAGTACTTGGGGACATAATCTCATATTACTTCCCCCACCACTTTATGATGAGGGGAATGACTATGCCAGTTTCACGATGGACTTAGTGAAAAAATATGCTTTCAAAAGCAGAAAAACAGAGCTTCCATTTTCTAGATGGTAGTCACTTGAATTGCTCTTCATTCTTTCCTGGGATTGCCTCATATCTTCTATGGTTTGCCCTGGAAAAATACATGGTCCATCTGTACATGTGTTTATTTGATTGATATATTATCCCTACATGGAGGTCTGGAGGAAAATATAAATTCATGACTCAAAGGAAAATTTTCATTACAAATATGTATTCTACATAGTAAACACTTTAACTGATATTATATAACAAATATTAGAATTTTGGATGTAGGATGGTGAACTCTTTGAGTTGAAAAGATTGGAAATAGGCATATGTGGTAAATTAATAAGAATAATGCTAATTTCTCACATGTCTACATTTTAGTCATAGACTCTTTTCAGTTAACAGTATTAATACTAATATCAATACTAATGGTGTCCACTTTTCATCAGCTTTTAAGTAATTTCTCTGAATGTAATAATATCACTAAATTAATAATTTGTTTTTTGGGGAGGTATGGTCACTTTCACATATCACAATTATTTAGATATAATAACAGATCAAATTGAACATTATAGTGATAATGGGAGCCTGGCTAGCTCAGTCAGTAGAGCATGAGAGTTTTAACATTACAATGGTGCTTACTTACAGGATATATTAATATGGTCAGTGACCAGTGGGAAAAAGTGAAGGTAAAATTTAAAAAAATAGTTTTATCCAAAGTAGAAAAATATAAATAAACAAGAACATGTATATTTACAAGTGTTAAGTCATAGTTATTAGAAAAAGTCATCATAAAAAATTAGTATTCACAAAACTTCCATACATATGTATAAGTCCTAAATCCTTACTTTATACTATTTATTTTTAACTGCTTATAAAGTCTTAATGTCTGCTTTTAGGAGACATTCACTGCTGGTAGAATATAAAATCCTGTATCTGAAAATTGTCATTTCATGAACTACTATTATTTTAGATGTCAGTAAAAAGATAAGGTTGTCTTTTCAATACCTAAATTTACTGATTCTTCTTCTATAGTAGTATTTGAGTTTACGAAAGTCATTTTGAAGTTCAAAATGACTGTCTTCTGAAAGGCAGTAATCATTGGAATAAACTAAAGAAATCAGTATTTAGACAAAGATTATACTTGGCAACAGAATTTTAAAAAATTGATTCATGAGATTTCCAATAGTTTAATAGACTGTAAGTCTTGTGGATTTCTCAAAATACATTAGCATTTATAGGAGAAAGCACAAGTGCCAATGTTTTAAACATCCATATGAGTAATGTATGAAAATGTTCTCCTTTTAAAGTATATATATGTATATATATATGAAAATGTAGGTTATTAAATTTCTTCAAATTTTAAGTAACATATTTTGATCTTGAATTCAATCTTGAATTCAGTCTTCAAATTTCATGGTTTTTGTCTTGGGCTGATTTTACTTTTGTATGTTTGTTGATTGAATTAAATAATTGTTATTCTCCGCCCATGTAGTTTTTATGCCACATGGAATAAATTATCATAAGAAAGCACATATATGTTTATTTAATTTTCCATGCCCAATTTTCACCATTTAATTTTCAGAACAGTCAGTAAATTTAGGTTTAAATATATCTAATGTTCTAACTCATGAAAATATGGAGAAATGATGTGAAACTGGTGATTGAAGACATCTGTTAGTAGCACAAATGCATTATGTAAAAGGTTTTTTAAAAAATTGCAGTTATTATTTTGAGAATGATAAATTAAGTGGCTGCTAATGAACAGTTCACAGTCATAGCTGCATATTGCAGTTAGAAATGGGAGAATGAAAATAATTGATGCAGTTTTAATCTGTCATTTTTCTGAAGTTTATATAGCCTTGGAATATTCCATAATCAGAACTTGCATACATGGTTTGAGGCAAATTTGCTTTAGAAAGTCATGTTTTAAATCTTCACCATATATTATTTTTACTTTGTCTAGTAAGAGCAGAGAAATATTAAAGTTCTAGAAGAATCACAAACCAATAACTTTTCAGAAACACAACAATTTTGAGCTTGAAATAATTGTACCTATTTAATAATTTGTCTCGAATAGTCTCAAAAACAAAATTATAGTAATATTTGTACATTAGTGGTGATTCTAGGTAGCAAAGAGTAAGTGGGATTTCAGGAGAGAACTTAAAGAAAATATTTGTATATACACTGATAGTTTAGATAAGCAATGCAATAGAGGAGACGAGACTAAAGTTGAATTGTGAATAAAATTGGTTGGTAGGGAGAAGAGGTAGGTGGCAAGAGGGAGATAACATTTCCAGATGTTCGAGATTGATGTAAAAGCAATGTTTTGGAATCACTGAGTTATTATAAATATGATTAAGGCACTCAAATTTAAGTTGCCATTACTCATTTCACAGCCAAAGTAACACATGAGCATGGGGGAGAGATTAGAGAAGTAGAGAGATACATGTGAAATTTAGCAAACCCCCTTAATTTTATCATTTAATTGTTAACTATGGACAGATTTTAGATAAGTTTTGATTGCAAAGAATATTTTATACTTAATGAATAATTGAATTTAATAACGCTTAGTTAGCAATTTTCATATTCCCAGCTCTACTTTCTACTTAACTAATACTGTAATTTTCCCTATAATAGGAAAGAAACTACAAAATAATTTAGTTGCTGGTTAATGTTAATGGAAAGCTAATACAATTTCAGTTTGTTATCTTTTCTTATGGAAGCCAGTATTATTATGCTTATGCAACTGAATTTAGCAAACATGAAATCATATTCACAGTGTGGACTGTGTCAGAGGAAGGTATTTCTAACTGAACCTTTCATATAAACTCTCTAAAAGTTATTGTCAAAGAATCTTTTTTACTGATTTCTTTTTTTAAATGCAATTGAAGCATAAATATGCTGTGTATTTCTCAAATACATATATTCTACTCCTGTTTTTAAACTTTGACATTTCAAGTTCTCCTGTATGAGTTTAAATCACAATAGATGTTTATTTGGTCTTCTTTATATATATGTTTCAACAGTTTTGGATAAAATTGAGAAGTCAGTGATATTTCAAAACCATGATTAGATTTAAGCATATATTTTTTAAAGATTTATTTATACAAGAACTGGGGTACAGTCAGAGGCACGGGAGGGTGAGAGAATTCACCAGAGACAGAGCGGGGAGCAGAACAGGCAGAAAGACCAAAGACACTGCTGAGGAGAGCAGCAGATGAGCCTGGAGAGGTCTGCTTCACCATGTGGGTTGCTCCCTGGCCGGCCGGGGATCGAACCCTCACTGCAGAGGCTGTGGACAGCTTCACAGCGCAGCGCTCATCCCACTGCACCACTGGGAGGCCCTGATTTAAGCATTTTTGTAGGTGATCATTTTCATAGAGAATGGTTAGAGTTTTAATCTGAGAATTGGTTTACATCTTCTTGACTATATTCTCCCATTTCTATCTGTAACTGATAA